GAGAAGGATTTGAACCTGAAACCTCTAAACTAATGATTAATTTTTTAGTTATTGATTGACTAGTCTTATGGTTGTTTGCTGTGGTGAATCCAGAAAATTGAATCTCCATCATGCACGTTTACTACTTTAATTGATATTGACATCGAAACTAAACTCGCTGTAGCTAATTTTGTTTGGAAAGCAAACAGCCCCTTGTTATTGCCAGTGACTTGTTTTGTCTATAAGTTTCATTGGAAGTTTTCCTTGTGTAAATATACATGTAGCATTAATATTGTTTCTCAACCATGTAATATTGGAGATTATTACTGATTAATTTTGTGCCCTAGTCTCTTTGTTTTCCGGGTGCGTATATCTAACTCTCTATGATGGAAGCCTCGTACACTGGGTACGGTACGCCCTTCTTCTTTTTTCTGCGATTGTGCGGTCAACAAATGGCATATGCAAGTTTGCTGTGTAATATAATGGCAATTACATACTTGTTTTCCCAATCCTTAAAAAATATGCAAAAAAAATAATGAGATGTCTATGAATTGCAATAATTGGTCGTGAATCTGCCTTGCAAATTAAGGCTGCCGCTGCTGAAAAAGATTAGAATATGCTTGGCTGGCCGCTAAGTAAATTTTGAGAAATGCTGACGCGGTACAAGCAATACTATGCAATTATTTTTTCAACGTCCATGGTGATGTTTTGCTGCTCTTGTATTTAGTGTTGCAACTGAAAGCACCAAATGATATAGAAGTGCAGTCAGTGATGGATTATCACACAAGTGATATAGAATAAGTACATAGATATCATTATCACTTTCTTGCAACCATTACAGTTACTACTTTGTCTTGCATATCGATAACTTCTAACAATCTTGAAAAGAAAAGCCTGACAAGGATGTAATTGTCTGTGCAAGCCTACCACTATATTAACTAATATTGATGTAACTTACATGAATATTATCAGAATGTCCAAAAGTCAACAATATCCTATTTAGCAAAATATATTATTGTAAAGTGCTAATTAATGAGAAAAATAATTCTTGGTCGTTACGATCCAGATAATTGCTTGCAGTGCAATGCACGTAGGGTAGGGTGTTAATCGAGTTTGAGTATGAAAAGAGAAAAATGTATAGGGTCTAGAACCATCTGGCTATGAGTTTACATGTGTTAATCTCTTTGCAAAGAGATTGTTAGTTAGCCTATAATACTAGAATTTGTTGTAAACCAGTTTTCATTCGAGCCGAGTCAAGACCACTCGAGCTGAGCCACGCATTAGCCATATTTGGCCCGTTTAAAAAATGAGTTTAGAATTTTATTCAAATTTTGTTGATTTTCAAATTTGAATGAGTTAAAATCGAGTCAAACCCGAGTTGAGTACAATGGATTAAAATGGATGACAAGGAGAGATTTACAAAAGAAACTCGTAAATACAAAATAGAGGAAAACACTAAATTTTTTGATTGACCAAGTAATTCAGCCACTCTTTAATAAAATTCTCATAACTCTTCCGAAGAAATTCAAAAAAAGAAAAAGAAATTCCGAAAACTGTTGGGTTTCAAAATGGGATTATCGAGCTTTCCAAAGATATTGTGAAGGCCCGTGAGTTGATTAAGGCTTCTAATAGAAGGCGGCCCAATAAACCCTGCATACTATTTCCTGCAATAGAGTTGGGCTTTAGATTTCACAATGGGTTGGGCCATGATTAAATGTGCCACATCAGTTGCAAAACAAAAATTTAAAAATAAAAATTGAATCAACAAAGCATAGTTTTTTAAACACACACTTAACACAACCTCTTAAAAAGAGGAAGTGCCAAGCGCGATATTTAAATTAACACACACATTCAAAGTTATCCGATGTTGGATAGCCCAGTCTTCCGACACTTCGATCAAATAAAAAGATACATCTCAAAAACTATCTAATATTTAATTTAATCGATAAAGAATAGTTCAATCAAACAAAAAGATACATCTCAAAGACTATCTAAGAGCATCTCAAATAGATTTTTTTATTTTCACTCAACTCCTTATTTGGAAGGGCTAATTATAAAAAAAAAACTCTAATAGGTTCTCTTTTTTTTCGCCTCGATAAAGAGAGAGCTAATTTGATTCTCCACATATAACGAGTTTAGCCCTTTATTATTATTATAATTTTTTTTTTGTGAACACATACAATAAAATAAATATGTATTTTAAATATATTTTACCCAACATCATATTGCAGTCTCAAGAACCCAAAATAACCAACAAACCCAAGTTCAAGCACCATCTCCAAAAGCTTCAGGTTGATTGATAAGCCTCGATCTACTTCTATATTCTATTTAATGAATGAAAAGATGATACTTATACATTCTTCATTAAATGCTCTTGACTATAACAATCCGAATAAACTTTCACCAAAACTGAAAGGTGTCACATATTCTAATATAAGAAGTGTTTTCTGATGTGCGAACAGGCTTTTTTGTAACTCAAATCTACTACGTTTAACTTATAGTAGAACAATTTTGCTTCTGCAATAAGACTCACCCACAAACTCTCTGTGTATTCTATAATTATAATTAGAGTCTTAATTATGCAAGCATGTTTAATAACAAGGAAGACTATAGTCTTTCGTTAAGTGCAACAAACAATGGCAGACAGTTGTTAGAGAGATCGATCAAGTTTCTGCACTTGGGGGGTAGAGAAATCCAGAGTTATGGATAAGATTGAACAGAATCAGAAGACTTTAATGCCTAAAAGTTCCTCTTCTTACGTTGTATTTCAGAGTTTGAAACTTTTGGGTTTGTCCTTCACTAATTTAATTGATGGTAAATCTTTTTTCTGATCACAAACTAATTATTTATTGCTAACAAAATCCCTACCATATCTTCTTCTGCCTGACTGACTGGTTCATCATCAGCTGACTGACTGGTTCATCATCAGCTAACTGATGATATCAGGCATTAACTGATTGGCAATTGGTTGGATGGATGGAGCAGTCTTCCTCTTCGACCAGTTGTTCAAGGATAAGATTCCATGATTAACAAGGTAATCTCAAACATCAAAAACTGTTAATAAATGGAATTTTGTATATTAATTTTTTTTTATTGGTAATTTTTATTATTATTGGGTTATTGCTCTAATCACGTCTTCATTTGTCGTCACAATTGCAAAACAACCTCAAATGTATGTAATTACTTTTAATTAGAGCGCACCGATTAAACTCTATCTTATGCTACCCAAAAAAAAATTATTTAAAATGTATAAATTTACGTCTCGCCCTTATTGGTTTATAATTTTCACTAGGGAACTATAGAGAAAAACCTTTTAAGGGTTTTAATTAACCAGGGAATTTAGCCATGTCCAATCAATTATTTTAGGATATATTTTTTTAACATTAACGCTATTAGGACATAGTTTAGGGATATAATTTGAAAACATAATACATTGTGATCATTTGATTGATTGATTGATAGTAGAGTGCATTTAATGTCGAAATTCAATGATAATTTAATGACCACAATCATTATATCTTCAAATTATATTATTAAAGATCACCTAAAACTTCTACATATAAATAGTCGATTCATAGTATAGTATATGTTGAGGCTCTTTCACTTTGTAAGTTTTTATCCAAATTTAAGATTCTGTCACGCGATATCTCAACAACTACATTAATAATCTAAGAAAAACACAACAGAAGTAATAGAAGAAGTGGAACATTTAGCCAATTATCATATAAATAATTCACCAGCTATGCCTCAAAGATAGCATGGTCCACTTTATGCGAAGAAAACAAGAAGGAACCAGTTTGAATACTACATAAAATAAAGGACATAGTTGCATCACAATGCAAATTGCAAAGTTGTTAAATCATTTTACATGGGACCCCAAAATGTCTGAATTTACATACAACTGTAAATTCAGATATTCTAAATTCGAATCTTAACAATTTCTTGAAGTCAGGCAATAAATTCTCAAGTTTCGACGCAAATTACCTATCTTTGATCAGACCGAAGAAGTGATTAGTCGAAGTGCACGTAATTTGATCCAGACACTTCTGATTATTAAAAAAATAATAATAATGGATTTATTGTGGTTTTAAATTTCTACTTATCCATATCAGATTGGAATATCTCATGCAATCTCTCTCTCTCTCTCTCCCTCTCAAGAAATATCTAAAATACCTATCTATTACTATTACCAAAATATATGAAAATAATGGAAAATACAATTCTCAAATTTGGCACATATGTCACAACTTTTGTTTGATTTTAAAAGGATTTATGATGTAAATTTTTTTTCTAAGAAACTTATAAATGGACTATGTGATTATTTTTGAACCACAAACAAAAATATATATTACCATTGAACCGACAATTTCTCAAATTTATCGTTAAAATCTTCATTTCATGAAACATACCACAATCCACTTTATGTAAAGAAATAAAAAGTAATTCAATCAAATAACAAGAAGATAATGAATTCATTTTGGTCTTAACAACAATCTATAGCAAAATTAAACACACAATCAATACATATCCATATATTCCAAAAATCCATATCTAGATGGAATATTTCATGCAATATCTGTCTTCTCAACCCCCCCCC